GAGAAGCAAAGCACAAAAGAGAAAACCATTCTAACTATACCTAAACTTTATTAACTTAAAGGTATCAAAAAATGATACTTCTACATTTCTTTTTTTTTTTTTTTTTTAAGATTTTATTTATTTATTTGACAGAGAACACCAGCAGGGGAAGTGAGAGAGGGAGAAGCAGGCTTCCCGCGGAGCAGGGAGCCCGATGCGGGGCTCGATCCCAGGACCCCGGGATCATGACCTGAGCCGAAGGCAGACGCTTAACGTCTGAGCCACCCAGGCGCCCCAATACTTCTACATTTCTAATGAGTGACTTTCCTTATCAGGAAATAACTTCATATGCTTCACCTTTAAGTGAAATTACAGAGAAATGGAAAGTTCAGTTACTATTTTCTTCAATCAAAATGATAGATGGCATCTGAAGCATGGTCTAGGGAAGACAAATGCAAATACAGTACAGCATCATATTAACCCAACTACTGAGGACAGGGGATCACAGGATTATCAGGGTTTGCTAAATAGGGAAGAGGATATTTATAGATATCAGAGTTCTGCCTGAAAGGTACAAAGTAAGCTGATTTAAGAGGCTGGAGGAAAGAGAGCAGAATAAGTCTATGTTTCTAAACATAAGTGTCCATACTTTATTTTAAATGTCAAATGAAGGGAGATCGCCGTTAGAAGTTAATTTTATTATGGGGCTGAGTTTTGTAGTATAAATACAAGGAAACGAATTTTTAAAGTGTATTTTTTGTTAAAATACCCATTCATTCCTTCATTCACATTAAATATCCACAGTGTGCCCCAAGTACAACAGTGAGCAAAACAGACATGATTTCTATGTAGGATTTGTACTCCTTTGACATTAAAGGCAATTTAAGAAATCAGAACTTTAGTTTTGTATAAAGTCTATTATCAGCATGTGTGCATATAAGTTATCTGCACCCTGGTGGACAGAAGTGGTCTGACTCAGTCATAAAACATCTAAACAAACTTTCTACAGGCAAATTATGAATACATGTGCTATTGACTACAGATATTTTATCTGCCTCAAAATCAGCTTAAACTCAGCTACTGGCAGAGGCATGGTGCACTGACCTAAAATGATACAAACTAGGTCATTCAGAGAAACTAGGGTAGTAGAGGGTGAGAGAGGAATGTGATGGTGGACGGAAAGTGTATGTGGCTGTGAGGAGCAGTTAAAATTTAAATATTAAAATTAATAAGCCAACTGTCAAGTACATGCACTCTCCATAACTAGCTTAAATGGAACTGACTTCAATGTATCTTTACCTCTTTAACAAAAAAAATTATGCCGCTCAGGGAGACGTTATTAACTTCCAGGAACTCCTATAGCTTTGATAGGGAGAACCTCACCTAAACTTGTCTTCTTTCTCCTCATCTCTCTATTAAATAAATACAGTGTTTCCTGAGGAACAAAATATGGACATTTCCTCAGGAAGAGTGGGTTCCCACCTTACCAGAGTCCTAATAAAAACATTGGGGACGGGCGCCTGGGTGGCTCAGATGGTTAAGCGTCTGCCTTCAGCTCAGGTCATGATCCCAGGGTCCTGGGATTGAGTCCCGCATCGGGCTCTCTGCTCCTTGGGAGCCTGCTTCTCCCTCTGCCTCTCTCTCTCTCTCTCTGTCTCTCATGAATAAATAAATAAAAAATCTTAAAAAAAAAACAACAAAAAACATTGGGGATGGGGATGGAGGTGGGGGCGCCTGCCTGGCTCAGTCGGTAAAGCATGCGACTCTTGATCTTCGGGTCATGAGTTCAAGCCCCACGTTGTGGGTAGAAATTACTAAAAAAAAAAAAAAACTTAAGAAAAAAAAAAAAGAGGGCACCTGGGTGGCTCAGTCAGTTAAGCGTCTCCCTTCAGCTCAGGTCATGATCCCGGGGTCCTGGGATTGAGCCCTGCATCGGGCTCCCAGCTCAGTGGGGAGTCTGCTTCTCCCTCTCCCACTCCCCCTGCTTGTTCTCTCTCTCTCTGTCAAATAAATAAATAAAATCTTAAAAAAAAAAGGAACATTATGGGCTTTGGAATTTCATAGACTTGAGTTCACCTATCTTCCATGTGTAACCCTGGGCACCTAGAAAATGGGAACAATACTTATATCTTAAGAAAAATGCTCTGAAGATTGAGATAATGTATGTAAAGCATAGTGCGTAGTAGACACTCGAAGCAGTAGTTGTGTTGGTTGTTTTGTTTTTTAATTTTTCACTGACCATTTTCTGACCAGAAAACACAATTTTAGGAAAAGTCTTCCAATGCTGAACATGCTTGATAACTACTACTAGGTTCATGTACGTAGAAAGTACTCCATAAATAATTTGAGTGAAGGGGTTATCTGTTAAATAGCAGTGATTACTTAATGCACTAACATTACTGTCATCTTAGTATTTTACCCAAGACTTGATATGAAAACGCAGGGCTAAAATAGCTGACTAAAAGTTCAGAGAAAACATTGGGGTATTTATTTATTTATTTATTTTTAAAGATTTTATTTATTCATTTGAGACACAGAGATACAGAGAGAGAGAGAGAAAGCATGAGCAGGGAGAGAGGCAGAGGCAGAGGGAGAAGTAGGCTCCTCGCTGAGCCAGAAGCCCGATGTGGGGCTCGATCCCAGGACCCCGGCCGGGATCATGACCTGAGCTGAAGGCAGACGCTTAACCATCTGAGCCACCCAGGCGCCCCATTGGGGTTTTTAAATAAGAAATAAAACATATTAGTCATAGCTGAAGGTTTATAAAGCAGAAACAAAAGCCTGAGACTCAGCCTTCAGTTGTACAGTTATCCCAGGGATGGGTGGGATACCAGACGTGACACACTTAATCACACCACTGATGATTTAAATTCTATGTTCCACTTTCAGTTCTAAGAATAGCTCACACTTTTGGAGATAAAAAAATGTATTTGGGAAACCAGATAAAGAATCCAGAATGATTTGCCCTAATTTCATATTGTTCATTTTAGGAAAAAAGAAAAAGAAAAAATCTGTCTTGATCAATGAACACAGCAGTTGTATACAATAGTGCTGTAGCACTGTCAATTTGCTGTCCACAGTGTCAATTTGCACCTGGAAACATGAGCAGTGGTTAATTTATTGTGGCCTGTAATTATAAATTAAACAATCATGAAAACAGTCCACTTAGTTGATAAACAAACTGGGGAAAAGTTAGCCAACGCTCATGCTTCTCATTTATGATGACATCTCATTCTCTGTTGGTTTGGCATGCCTTTTTTATTCCAGTTCTAGTTATTTTCTGTGTAAATATTTATGTTTGTACTCATTTATTGAGAAAAACTTAGCCTTTAAATGGACAGCTCATGTATAAATGATTAATAAAAGGAAAACATGTAAAAATCTGTTTAGCCTGAGGTTAATAAAACTGCAATGTAGCAAGTGTGAAATGTGATTGGCAACTTCAGATCAAATTCTACTTCTTTAACAATCTGACAATGTAAAATCAATTCTTTTTCCTATCAAAATTTACTCATTGGATAATCTGACCAAAAGTGCATGCATTTTTTTTTTCCTTGCAGACATCTAGTCTTCATAAATTAATGGACGTGGGGTGGGGAAGTAACTAAGTTTGAGTGCCTGGCTCTGTGCAGTTGGTAAGCCAGCCAACCTATTCTAAATGCTTCAAAGTCAATTTTGCTTTGACTTGCTCTAAAACTACTCAATTCCATTTCAATACCCTCCAACTAACTGCACAGAAATCAACAAGGAACAGCGTGTCAACGGTCAGATCTGTCACACATCATAATTCACAACTTGGGAAAGCTTTAATTAAGTCTGACAGAGAAAAGCCAACTGATAGCCACTCTAGTTTTAATTTCCCATTCTTTTTAGTTTGGAGATCCCAAGGTGAGATTAAGATCTTTGGTTCTGGTGTGGTCATATGTAAAAGGCTGCAACAGGTTTGAAATGAAATACTAAGGACTGGGCAGCAAATTTGCCTCCATCAATATGGATTAAGTGTTGAAGGGAAAATCGGTCATCACCAACAACCAGACTTTACAGAACTCTCAGCAAATAAATAACTCGTTGCTGCCACGCAAACACCAAGACGGCGTAAAATCCACCAGGCATCCCTTACAAGCGGTACCTCTTTGTGTCCTGGGATTTACACCCCTCCCCCCAGAGGCCCGCACTTCTCGAGGAAGAGGAGAGCTAGGCTACCATCTCCCCTGGTACCGCGAGGACGACCTCAAAGACAGTAGCGCTGACCCTTCTCCCCGCTTCTGGACGGACCCCGGTGGACCCACTTTCCAGCGGTACCGGAAGGCCGATTCCCTAGAAAGATCTAAGCCTGCATGCGGAGTCTGCTTTCCGCAGTTATTCGGATCCGCCCTCGCCTCCGTCCCTAGTAATGATGGAGCCCCGGCTCTGTACCGGGATAGCCACGCAACCTTTCAGCCCCTTCCCCTAGCTTCGGACCCGCTGCAAGCCCCGCCTTCCTCCCCAGGCCCAGGTCTCCTTCCAAGGGCCCACCTTCGGGATTCCCCGCTGCCCCCCGAAAACAATCCAGAACCCAGACTGCAGGCTGAGCGCCGTCCCATTCCCTCCTTGGCTTCAAGCGCAGTGGCCCGCCCTGGGCCTGAGGACTGGAGGGGGGTGACCGGCCAGCTCCAGAGGGGCCCGGGCCCCCACACTCACCATCCTCCCGCCGAGTCCCTCCTCCTCCTCCTCCTCCTCCTCCTCCTCCTCCTGCCTCCCCGTTACCAGGGGCAACTGCTGCGGCACCGCCCCCGACGTCCCTCGCACGCACAGCGGAGAAGCAAAGCAGCCGTACGGGGCGGGGTCCAGCTCCGCTTTTCCCAAAGTGCGCAAGCGCGCCAAAGTGCCCGCCCACTGCGCGGGCGGGCTGCTGGAGCGACTGGAGCCGGCTGCCGGCTGGTAGAGACCCGGCGAATGGTTAAAGCTCGCCCACGTGGCTGGTGGGCACCGCCCAGCCTGTGATTGGTCGGGAAGGAGCAGGGCAGGGGCGGGGCGAGGGGCGGTTCCCGGGCAGAGGCCGCAGGTTGGTACAGGCCAGGCTTCCAACGCAGGGTACTTCTGTTGGAAGTTGTCTCAGTACATTCTTCCCGGGACCAGGTAAGGGGTCTTGGGAGGAGGCCGCCTACCACACCTTCTTCTAGACCCCACATCCCCGGAGGGAGTTTGGATTTATGTCCTGACTGCCGAGGCAGGGCTGCTGCGGGGGCTGGACTTCCACCTGCTGTAGCCACGTGGCGCGAATAGTGGCCTGGGGCTGCCCAGGGACCGCTCCCTTATTGTCCCCGGCGCTATGAGGCCCAGCTGAGGGGTGGGAGGCGTTATGGGCTGTGCATCTATCTCCACATTTCTGTGTTAGAGTCCAGGATGGAGGAGTCCCGGTGGTGGGAGGCTGCCTGTTGGAGGGGGGACTGGCCCTGAACACTGAGGTGAGCAGACAGCAGGGGTGAAAGGCGTTTTGGAATGGCCGGGTTTTGCTAAGCAACGTTGGACCGGATGGTGCACTGTCTGCAGCCCCAGAGGAGGCAAAAACGGGCCTGCACTTACAGGCAAGCAAGAGCGAAAGGGATTCTGGGTGGGTTGAGAGGCGCTACCTCCCACCCCGACCCATGCTGAGAACAGGTAGAAGAGTTAATCACATATGCGGCAGGTCCTGTTCTAGACTCTGGAGACGCAGCAGGGGACAACATCTGCCCTCATGGAAATTACATACTTCTTGGTGGAATGCTTTTCACACGAGATTTCATTTCATTCTCACAGCCCTAGAAATTGGTTGTTCTAAGCGATATAGAGTCGGGACTTGAACCCAGTTCTGACTCTGGAGCTAGTGATTATAACACTATTGTGTTGTCTAAGTAGGACGAACAGAACGGCTTATATTTGTGCTTTAAACTCAGAACTTTTTAAGAGTTGGTAAAGTGATGGCACTGATGATAAAACCTGTTTGCAGTCATGTGTGTGCCTCTTACCTCCCTCATTGGGTTCTTGTGAGGATTATGTGAATTATATGTCAAGTACATAAGATATTGCCTGGCACATGGAAAGTGCTACATAGGATTTAGCTGTTATTATTATTTTTAAGATTTTATTATTTGACAGAGAGAGAGAGCACAAGCAGATGGAATAGTAGGCAGAGAGGGAGAAGCATACTCCCCTACTGAACAGGGAGCCTGATGCAGGGCTCAATCCCAGGACCCCGAGATCATGACCTGAGCCGAAGGCAGTTGCTTAACCAACTGAGCCACCCAGGCCCCCAGGATTTAGCTATTATTGCTTCATCTAGGTTTTGGGGCTTTGCCCCTCTTCCTACCAGCAGGCTTTCCAGTCTACTTAACATCACTGGAACAAAGGTGGATTTTCCCTGAATGGTCCTTAGCTATTTATGCATTCAACTAAAGTGTGTTTTTAAAACATCTGCTCACGGCATACCTGCTTCAGATCCTTGGAAAGAAAACTCAGTTCAGAACCTTGATTAAGTAGATGCAAGATGAATGGCTAGTTCAGAGCATGCACTCCTGCAATCCACTCGTTTCTAGCCTGTTGGTTCTTTTGTGAAAAAGGAAGGGCAGACTTCTCTTTCTGAGTTGTCTGGTGTCTAACATCATGGTTGCCTTGGAGTCACAGGAGTGTACCTGGGCCTGCTTGTGTAATTATTAGTCTCATTGTCCAACTTTCTCTAGGCAGCCTTGGCACCAACCCTTGCCTATCTCAGGTGGTCTTTGTGTTTGATCTTCTTGAGTCTGGCTGCCTTGATCTTCCTGTGATGCGAGTACCAGCGATGATGTTTTGCTTTTCTTCCTACCTGGGGATACAAACAGGGAAATCTTGAGTACTTTCCCCCTTTGCAAGAGGATACCCAGAGGGAGTTTAGAAGCCTGTTCTCTGAGCTCTGATACTGTTTGCCAGAGAAAATCAACTCTGTTTTTTTTTTTTAGTAAACTGTATCCCCAACGTGGGGCTTGAACCCAGACCCCAACATCAAGAATCACATGCTCGGGGCGCCTGGGTGGCTCAGTCGTTAAGCGTCTGCCTTCGGCTCAGGTCACGGTCCTAGGGTCCTGGGATCGAGCCCCACATCGGGCTCCCTGCACCGTGGGAAGCCTGCTTCTCCCTCTCCCACTCCCCCTGCTTGTGTTCCCTCTCTTGCTGTATCTCTCTCTGTCAAATAAATAAAATCTTTAAAAAAAAAAAAAAAAAAAGAATCACATGCTCTACCAACTGAGCCAGTCAGGTGCCCCAAAACTCAATTCTCTCTGAGAAGGATGACTTCAGGAGAGGTAATAGGTTGTTTCATTTTTTTTTTTCTCTTTTCTCTCTCTCTCTTTTTTTTTTAAAGATTCCATTCATTTATTTGACAGAGAGAGACACAGCGGGAGAGGGAACACAAGCAGGGGGAGTGGGAGAGGGAGAAGCAGGCTTCCTGCTGAGCAGGGAGCCCAATGCGGGGCTCGATCTCAGGACCCTGGGACCGTGACCCGAGCCGAAGGCAGACGTTTAATGACTGAGCCATCCAGGCGCCCCTCTCTTTTCTCTTTTTTCCCCCTTCCTCCCTCCCTTCCTTCCTCTCTCTCTCTCGCTCTCTCTCTCTCTTTTGGCCTGTAGTGGATGGAGGGCCCATCTAAGTGACCCTGAGCCTTGTGACCTGGGGAGAAGAGGCCCTGGCTATTGTCAGATTGTTGGACGGATGGACAGGACTGGAGCTGTGGTTAGGGCAGAGTTGTGTGTAATGTTCAGCATCCTGGCTCAATCGATGTGAATCTTTCTAAGCATCAGTTTCCTCTTCTCTAAATTGAGATCTTGGATCCCTCACATCTTGGAGCTGTGATATTCTCCAGTTCTCAGAGCAAGGGAATTATTGATCAGTCACCTGTTTGATTTCCAGCTCCCCCCTTGTTCCCAGTAGTGGAACCATATTCTTCCAGAACTGAGGCCACCCTGGACACGGTAGTGACCTCTTTAGGGAATACTAGATGCGGCTCAAGTGGGAAGAGGGAGAATAACTGTTCTAGAGAAAACCTAGAGACCAGATTGAACTCAGTACAGGAGGGGTAGACCATTTGCAGCTTCAGGACCCAAAGCCTGCCCTTACTTCTGTAACCAAGATAGGTTCTAAGTTTGACTTGAAAGAGAGATGTCCTTGATGCCCAGGGAGCCCAAGAGTAAGATGAAATGCATTTCAGGCAGGCAGTAAGTATTTTTAGAGGACCTGCAAGAGCTACAGCACGAACCTTACAATCGGCTGGGGGAGGCCAACTTTATACAAATAACTGTATGTAACAAGAAAGTGATAATTACAAAGCCAAGTGTGTTGCAGATGAGGATAGGATGCTGAGAGTATGTGACAGAAGGGTTTGAGTTTGCCCTGAAGGAGTCATGGAACTGTGCCCATTGGGGGGCAGCAGATGTGGGGGAAATATTTTAGACATAGAATAGAATTTAGATTTCTTTTTGACCATATGTTTTTGCTTTTTTTTTTTTTTAGATTTTGTTTATTTATTTGAGAGTGCATGTGCATGTGTGCAAGAGAGAGAGAGAGAGAGAGAATGAGCAGGGTGGAGGGAGGGGGCCTAACCTGACGTGGAGCTCCATCTCATGACCCAAGCTGAAGGCAGGTGTTTACCCAACTGAGCCACCCAGGCGCCCCTGGCCTTATGTTTTATTTAAGACAGGGACTGGGCAACTCATATGCTGGCCTTGGTAATGAGGGGAAAGTTTCTTGACTAGTTTAGCAAATGATTATGCTTTCATGGTAGAAGTACTTCCATTATGAAAAGTAGAGAACTTTCCAGTGTTGGGTTGAGGGAGGAAAGAGATGTCTAAGGACAGGTTGTGTGTGTTCGGGGAAGGAAGGAAGCATAGCATGTTCGAGGGCACCAGGGTGGCTCATTCCGTGAAATGTCTGCTTTCAGCTCAGGTCATCATCCCAGGGTCTTAGGATTGAGCCCTGCTTCAGGATCCCTGCTCAATGCGGAGCCTTCTTCTCCCTTTGCCCCTCCCCCTGGCTTGAGCACACATGCCTGCTCTCTCTCTCTCAAATAAATAAATAAAATCTTAAAAAAAAAAAAAAAGGCAGCATAGCATGTTCTGTTGAGCTTTCTCCAGCAGAGGGACTGGAGCCCCAGCTTGGGGCTCTGTAACCCAAGACAGTGTGTGATCTGCCAGCCAGGCCAACAACTCCTTTTAGCCCCATGTAGAGTCAGGGAAGGTAAACTCTTGCCTCTCTCCCACTCATGGGTTCAGTTGTGACTGCATGAAATAGCTTTGGTCTTTGAACCAGCCTGTAGGAGGCCGAGTCAGCCTGTCCCCAGAGGACAAAGCCTAGAGCCTTCCCGTGGGCTTTGTGGCGGAGTGAGAGAGGCAGAAGTCTAGCAGTGGACACTCACTGTCTGGCTTCTGACTTCTTCAGAGGTTGCCGCTCAGTGGTGGCCTCAGGGCCAGGGGAGGGTGCCTGAAAACTCCATGGGAGGCCTCCCCTTCTCTCCTGGCTCAGCATGTCACCTTGCTGAAGTCTCTCCCACCTCAAGAAAAAAATGTAAAAATTGACCATCTCTCCCTTGACTGCATTTGTTGGCTCCTCATGCCTCCTCCGTCTCTGGTGGTTCTTTCTCAACTATTTGGGCTTCCTTTTTGGGGGGGCTGGCCTCTTACATGTGGTTGTTTTCAGGCTATGTCCTCAGCACTTTATTTTTCCCATTCTGTGTGTTCTCACTGGAAAACTTTGTCTTAACCTACCTTGATGCCACCGACTCATTGTTTTACTTCTAACTCAGATCTCTGTACTTTCTTTTAAGCCTAAATATCCATTTGCTGACAAACTGGACCTCTTACTCAGCATATACTTGAATTCTTGTGCAAGCACTGGGGTGGCAGTGGGGAGGAAAATGGACACAGTCCCTGGGTCTAAGGAGCTTATGACCTAGAGGGGAAGGTAGGCATTCATTAAAATAAAACCACAGAGTGTTAGAACGAACTGGCACAGCTCTGAAGAAAAAGTACAGAGCCAAGAGGGCTTATAGCAGAGCACCTGATCTAGTGGTCGGGGAGAGAGAGGGGCCAGGGGTCCTTCAAAGGATTCCCTGAAGAAAGGTTTAAGCCAAGAT